CATTAGTGCATCAAGGCAAGATATCGGGGAAGGTCAATAAGGATTCCGGCTACCAGGGCCTCATTCAACAAAACAGAGACACACCTTCAAGACACAATTTATTTCACAGAGTTGGCAAAAGACGGTGAGACCAGGATAGCCAAGGTTGAAGGGACGAAGCTGCCACATCCTCCTAAAAGCGAGTCTGCAGGAACGTCAGAGTGACGGAAGAGGAGTAGATGCACATGGATGACAAGGGACGATGGGAAAGAGTACTATACCATCGTTACAGACTAATGAGGATGACGAACTCCCTACGACTAAGAAAGCTACCCCGAGGTATGAGCATTTTTTTTAGTTACCTAGATATGACCTGATCGCACTGTGTATCAAGAAAGAAAATGGTCTTTTACTGTCCTTTTCAAGAAAAGCTAGATTGTTTTTTTTTTAAGGCATATATTTGTAAAGCATACTCACATTTTCCATCTAACCGAAGACTCCAAATAATGTTTCAACCAGTGCTATTTCGCCACACCACAAAGCGATATCACTATGATTATGCCGTCAGGCGACATACCGACCCCCGAACTAAGTGCAAAGGTACAGTGTTCAAACTCCAGACATATGATAGTATAAGATAACTAAGGCTCGGACGAATAACAATTAAACAACTTTAAGAATAAAAAGGGGACACATTAGAATACTGCGATGAAGTTAGGGCACCCGCAAAGTACATGACAGACTCCATCGACACAGTCGAAGAGCCGTTAGAAGAAACCAACTTAGCGGATGACGGATCCGACAAATCCCTTGTACATATCTGTTAGGCTGTCAACAAAGGATAAGGAGAAATTAATCACACTCTTAGAAGGTAAAGAAAGCACCTTATCACAAAAGACCAAGGAACCCAGAACCAGCCTAATGCATGTTCTGCTCACAAAGTTTCAAGACGTGTTCGCCTGGTCGTGTGACCAGATACCAAGACTCGACCTAGAGCTAGTCTACCACTCTCTTTGCATAGACCCAAAGTTTTGGTAGGTAAAACAACTACAGAGAGTCTTTAAACTAGAAGTGACATTGAAAATAAAGGAGGAAGTAGAGCGGCTTCTGAAAGTAGGTTTTATCAAGCCCATAGCACACCCCTAGAGGCTAGGCAACGTGGTTCTAGTAAAAAGGAAAAACGGGCAGCTAAGATGTTGTGTCGACTTTAGAGACTTAAACAAGGCTTGCCCCAAGGATGAGTTCCCTCTCCCTAATATGGAGGTTCTTATAGATTCAACGGCAGGGCACAAACTCTTCTCTTTCCTAGACGTTTACAGCGGGTATAACCAAATCTTTATGGATCCCAAGGACGCGCGTTGCACAACCTTCACGACACCCATAGGAAATTTCTTCTACGAAATGATGCCCTTCGGGTTAAAGAATGTTGGTGCCACGTACCAAAGGGAAATGACTAGTGTCTTCCATGATATGATCCTAAAGGAAATAGAGTGCTATGTGGATGACATAGTTGTCAAAGCTAAGAAGAAAGAAGAGCACCCTAAAGTCTTGAGGAAAATCTTTACCATATGCAGGGAGTTCAAGCTGAGGTTGAATCCATTGAAATGTGCATTCGGAGTACAGTCAGGCAAATTCTTAGATTACCAAGTAGACCAAGCCAGGATACACCCGGACAAGAACAAAGTTAAAGCCATCCTAGACATGTCGTTGCCAATAAATCAGTCCTAGCTGAAGACTTTCCTTGGGAAAGTTTCGTATCTAAGGAGATTCATTCCCGGCTTCACACACACGACCTTACCATTAATGAAACTGGTGAAGAAAGCCGTTGAGTTCAAATGAACCCAGGAGCACAAAGACACTTTTGAATGATTGAAACAAGCATTGGCCAAAGCACCCGTGATGAGGCCTTCCAAAGCGAGGCAAGAGTTCAGGATGTATATCGCAACGGGATTGGTAGCCATAGATTCCCTGTTGGCGTAGGAAGATGAAAGCAAAATTGAAACTCCCATCTACTACACCAGTAGAACCCTCAAAGTTGTAGAGAAGAACTATTCCCACATGGAACAACAATGTCTAGCCATGGTCTTTGCCACACAGAAAATTTAGGCATTACATTTTGGGGCAAAAGGTGCGGCTCATCCCATGAAGTGACCCGATCAAGTTCTTTATGGATAGACCTCCCTTGTCCAAAGGTGCGGCTCGTCGCAGGCTCATAAAATGGATGATGCGGCTTAATGAGTATGATATAGAATATACATAGCCCAAAGCTGTCAAGTGTCTGGCTGTCGCCGACCTACTGGCCACTTTCCCATCTGCCTCTGACTTCCTTATATCAGAAGAAATCCCCGCAGACATGCCCATGGTTTCTTTGGCAGAAAGTAGTGAGTGGATCCTAACCTTCAATAGGATCAGCGCAAATACCTCTATCGGTGCTGGAATGACCCTGACTTCCCTTGATGGACAGACTTTGGCCTTTTCCTTTAAACTCCAGTTTCCTTGTTCACACAATATAGAAGAGAATGAAGCACTAGTCCTCGGCCTAAAAAAGCAATTGAAGCCAATACGAAGAAGATAAGAGTGTTCGGTGATGTGAAGAAGCTAGTGATTGGGCAGCTCGATGGAAACACGATAGTAAAAGAACTCACCATATAGGAGCTTGATACAAAAACTGGTTCACGACCTAGACATACGCTTCGAACATCAAAATAGAGCCAATAACCAGTTTGTTGATGCCATAACCACATTAGGATCCAAGATACAAGCTAGCCTCGAGCCAATAGAAATCACCATTCGAACAATCAACAGGCAGTCAACTATCACTTTAAGGGAACAAGTGGAGGATGAAAAGTAGATGACGGTCGATGACTAGTGATATGAGGTGATATAGAAACTGAAGGATCAGACCTTGGGGACTCAAGACATAAGGCTGATTGCGAAGTTCCAATTGGTGCACGAAGTACTGTATCATTAGACAGTGTATGCCCTTGGCTCCAATCAGATTGATGTACATTATGTCATTTATTCTAAATGAATAAAGTGCAGAGTTGATTCATGTGATTTGGTGTGTTTCTGTGATTATACCCTTAAACTGGACACTTATGAGACTCGTGTTAGTTTAGAATCTTCATAGCCATTGGATAAATCTGGGGAGATTTATCCTGCCAAGGCTGCACTGATGTGCCACCAAGTTGGTTGGGGTGGCTTGTCTCAACTGCCAGGGTGAGACCTAAGGTACATGCAGTGTGAGTTTTCTTGAAACCTTGAATTGGACCAAATTCCAGTATTGCCCTGGACCTTGGATATAGATGGGCAAAACTGGAATGTTACACCTGACCCCTAGACTCGATTATGGTACTGCACTAGGTATCAGATTGGGCTGTCTTTGATATGCCAATCAGTGAGATCCTTAGAGGGAGTCAAAACTTGGGTATGTTGGGGCAGTTTGAGAATTCACCCGAGTGGGTGACCATAGTGACAGGATCAGCCCCTTTGCCGGACAAAGTGAATGATTGAGGAATCTGCAGAGTTCCTTAGTTTTAACACATAGCAATCTGTAGAGTTCTCCCCTGTTCTTGCCGCCCCTACCCAGTTTGATCTCCACTTGTGGAAGTGATCAACAAGTATTCTTGATATTGCTTCTTGGCAAAAGAAGCAATCTGAATTTGTGCTCACCAGCCCTTGTACGATTCTTGCTAAAGAATCCTGGTTCTTGCTGAAGAACCATCCTGCTGATCCTGCTTCAACACACACTGTGTCATCTTTAGTGGAAGTGGTTTTTGGTTTTCTCCTTGGGCGTAAACACCTTCATTGGGAGTTACTACTACTTCGTATCAGGTATATCACTCACTTCCTAATGGTTTCAAATCTGGTCTGGTTCTGTTTCAAGAATGATCCTTGAAAATGTAGTTTTCTAAAATAGGGAATGTGATTCCCAGATGGGAGAGAGAGAAATTTTTTGAAATTCACCCAACCTTCCTACAGGGTTCGTTCATCCATATGATGAATCTCTCGTCCCTTCACCCGGAGCCAATAGAAAACACCATTCGAACAATCAACAGGCAGTCGACTGTCACTTTAAGGGAACAAGTGGAGGATGAAAAGCAGATGACGGTCAATGACTAGAGATATGAGGTGATACAGAAACTGAAGGGTCAGACCTTGGGGACTCAAGACATAAGGCTGATCGTGAAGTTCCAATTGGTGCACGGAGTACTGTATCATTGAGAGTCCAATGGGGTAAGGACAAGGTGTTTGGACAAGGAGGAGCAAAAGCCACATTGGATAAGATCCACAAAGCCACCTGTGGGGTAGTCGCGAGTACCCTTTTCCGCAAATTATAGCGAATGGGATATTATTGGCCCACAATGAAGTGGGATTCGATTAGAATACAACGAGTGTGTGATAAATGCATTCCACAAACAAATAACAGATAGTGTTTGGTGGTTTGCGATGAAGACTGAAGGAAGATATATATAGAGTACTTATAGGAGCACACATTTCCCATTGATATTCGGTTGTGGAGGAAATTATTGTCTAAAGTTATGAAATTCTACCTCCAGGACGGGATGCTGTACAAGAAGTCTCACACAGGTAAACCTCTGTGATGTTTGGCTGGCGAGGAAATTGATGACATCATGGAGGCAGCCCATGACTCCAAGCCCGCAATTCATCAGGGCCAGCTTGCCTTACCTACCCACATCTTGCACCTCGTCTTTCATTGGCCAACTATGATGGAGGATGCACAACGACATGTGCGCAGGTGTCACAAGTGCCAAGTTCACGAGGAAAGGATTCACAAACCTGCCAATGCCCTGCATCCTGTTGTCACACCCTAGCCCTTTCACACTTGGGGGATAGACCTTATAAGCAAGATACACCCACCCTCTAAAGGGTATTGTTTCATCATCGTGGCGACAAATTATTTCACTAAATGGGCGGAGGTCGTTCCCTTGTGATGAATCTGCACTGCTAACATAGCGAACTTTCTACAATAAAACATCGTCCATAGGTTCGGGGTACCAATGCGGATACTAACCGATAACGACCTGTCCATCAAAAACCAAGAAGTTCGTGACCTTTTAGGGCAATATGGGGTAAAATTTGGGACATCGACAATGTATTACCCCCAAGGCAACAACCAAGCAAAAGCTACGAACAAGACGCTACTAAAAATGCTAAGCAAAACAATAGTTGACAACCAAAAAGATTGGGCAAAGAATCTATCAGAGACCCTGTGGGCTTATCGCACGATGATCAAGAAAAGCACACAAGCGACACCCTATTCTTTGGTTTATGGACAAGAAGCAGTACTGCTAGTAGAGATCAAGGTTGTGTCTGCTAGGATAGCTACGATAATTGATAAAAAGATCAGACCAGAGGATCTGGATGATTTACTTGCAAACAAACTCAAGGCGGTGGATGAAGTTAGAGATAGGGCGGCAGAAAAGCAAGACAAATATAAACAAGCATTAGCAATTAACTTCAACAGACCCTTGAGACCTAGAAGCTTCAATGAGGGAGACAAAGTGTTGAAGACAACCCTCAACGTTACACAGGGCATATCTGCAGAAAATTTTGCACCGACATAGGAAGGGCCCTACTTGATAAAAGAATCTCACAAGTTGGGTTACTATGCACTTAAAACTGTAGACACGGGTGACGACGATGAAACCATAAATGGCCACTGGTTGAAACCTTACTTTAAGTAACCATGTTTTGTATGCATGTGCATTCTTCTTTTGAATAAATCTATGATGTGTACTTTCAAATTCCTTTTCTTATGGTTTCTTATCATGACAGATACTTTTTATTAATTAAGAGCACATACGTTTGTCTTGCTTATACAACTGTGTACATATATCTCTCATCCATACACAGCCCCAAACACCCCAAGCAATCTGGAACCCCAGGCACAAAACCCTGGACACCCTGGGCACCTCAGCGATAAGCCCCGACACCCCAGATATCTCAACAAAGCCCCAAACACCCCAGGCAATCTGGCACCCTAGGCACAAAGCCCTGGACACCCCAGGCACCTTAGCGATAAGCCCCGACACCCCAGGCAATCTGACACCCCAGACACCTCAGCGATAAGCCCCAGTGCCCCAGACACCCCATGCAATCTGGCACCCCGGTTACCTCAACAATAAGTCCCGACACCCCAGGCATCTCTGCAAAGCCCCAGACACCACAGACAATCTAGCACCTAGGCACCTCAACGATATGCCCTGGCACCCCAGGCATCTCTACAAATGCCCGGACACCCCAGGTAATCTGGCACCCCGGGTACAAATCCTTGGACACCCCGAGCACCCCAGGGATAAGCCCCGACACCCCAGGCATCTCTACAAAGCCCAGGACACCTCAGGCACCTCAACGATAAGCCCCGGTACCCCAGGCACAGATAAAGCCTTGGCAACCCCAGGCACGGACGAAGACTTGGCAACCCCAGGAACAAAGAAAGATCCGGCACCCCAGGCACAGATAAGGCCTTGGCAACCCCAGTCACAGAGAAAGACCTGGCAACCCCAAGCACTTTCCTATTATGATCGGTTGTTTAATGCCATTTGCCTCATGCGAAAGTCGTGGCAACCCCAGGCACATCCACTCCTCCAGGTAATCCTCGGGAGAAGGGGGCTTCGTCAACAACAGGAATAACCCCTGTCCACTTTATAAACACAGATACTTTTTGATGGACTAAGAAAAGAAAACCTTACCCGCCCTGCATTGACAATAACATTCATCTCAAACACTTCACTTTACATAACATCACACCCGATAGTATCTCACGTATTGGAAAACACTGTTCGATCTGCGATAAAGTTGATTATGCCTGTGCTGATTACAATAGCACCCAACAGGCACTCGACAGAGTACACAAGTGTCGTGCATCTCAACTAAGAGGCATGTACGATTCCCTTTTATAGTAGTTTACAACTAATAGTCGCTTACGTTTGCAATGGTGTTTAATTGTGACCAATCCTTATAACAACACTTACGAAGAGTACTTATTCGCGACCGAGTACACAACACAACCAAAAATGATTTTCTCACCATTCGATATAAACATTAATACAAGCCGTGACAAAATTCACATATCATGACTTTCTCGATAGAAAGCATTCTATCAAAGATATAGGGGGGCTGCGCCCACCAAAGTAGTAATGGGATCACTCCTTGCAATCCTAGCCACATTTGTGCGGCACAAATACCCTCCCTCCTAGGCTTGGTCTCTGTAAATGTATTGTGTTGTATTAAAGTTATGCATCAAATAACTACAACTAGCATGCAGTCTGTGTTAATGACAGCAATAGGCCTAATGCAATTCACACACAGTTGCGATAAGGCGACAACACGCTTAATGTAAAATCAACATTACACTTCGCACTACATCTCTTCACATAGCTACATTCCCTACAAATGTACTCTTACAATGAACATGGATAAGATATTCATACAATTTTCCTTGTTATGATATATGGCTATATTGAAGGCAAAAATGAAACAACACAATTCAAAACGGCAACATTCAAAATAGGGGATTAACAACGACAAAGGCAACTCTAAATACCAAAAAACTCTTCATTTCTTCCAATCCTCCCGAATCGCGACTATAGTCTCTACAATCCCATTGGTTTCCTCAAACTTCTTCAAACTCTCTAACTCAGAAATGTAGTCATCAAGTATCCGCTCTTGCTACACACACTCCTCTCAAACTCTTGAGTTTGTTCGATACTCGGGCGACACCCGCTTCGACAACCCTGCGGCGCTTGTGAACATCGCTCATGGAGCAAAACAAATCATTCTGTGGTATATCTTTGCTTGCCTTTCAGAAAGCATGTGCTAAAATTATGACTCATCATTTGACATCATTCATAAAGAAGCCCATCGATGAAAAAGCACGACACGCTTCAAACCAGTAGGCAAAGTCCGCTCACGACAACTCTTCCAGTGGGCGACACATTACGAGGCTGATCAATGGTAGAAGCAAATTGGGCAACCGTACGGATAAAGTCGTTCAAGGCCAGACCCACCTTCTAGCAACTGATCCGAACAAATCATGGTAGAAGCAAATTGGGCAACCGTACTGGAGATGCTATAATGCACCTCCTTACCTTGAACATACACAAGATCCATCACTAGGAAGTGCATTAACGGGATATCGTGATTCTCGTGGTATCCCAACAGTTGTTGCCATATTTGGTCTAAATTTTCCTCGTACAACACCTCCGAGGGGGAAGCAAACTTCCCCTCTGCGTCCTCATTCCCTTAGTAGTATTCCTTGTCTTCGAAAAAGTTAGCTATTAGTGTATCATCGCAAACAGACTGTGGGTAAACACCTCGGAAGAGTTACCTACATCATCATGAGACAAGGATTCCATAGAAACCTTCCCATGCGCGTCTTCACACTGTGTCACCACCACCACGTCAGACCCCAACTGAGTCATCCGATCCACTTTTATGGAACAGAAACACGATAAATCTTGGCCGTCGGACACTTGAGGAGTAGTGTGGGGGGCAGTATTAGCCATGGTACTCATGACGGTACTAATTCCAGTCACCATGGGCTCGATTGCGGGGGCTACATCACCCTTAGTTCCTCAACTAGACGCCGAAAAAAGGGTGTGTTGGACTCCCCAAGGGGAAACTTAGATAAGAGAGCCTGTGATAAAGACATACCCAAGCAGTCAGAGCACCAGAACCATACACGAACCAATGAATCTCAAATTGCTTCTCACCTCTAAGTCCACCTCGTCCCTGTTAGAATCTGCCACATTGCGATCAACCCGCTTCAAAGACAAAGACCGTCTCACAATCAGTCCTCGCCCACCTGGAGTCGTTATCGGAACCCTACTGGACGATTCCACACGAACTGCTTGATCGCCTACAATGACTTGACCGCCTTCATTCACAACAGGTTGTGATAGGATCCACACTTAGCAAAGGTAGCACAATTTCGTCTAATCATAGTTTAGTAATCATACAAACATTCAACAAAACTTATTGACTCGTCATTCTTCAGACTCCGCCTTGGCCGACGGGAAGCCCTTTTCTTTAATCACCTGCTTGAGAAGCGAATCATAACACCACCAGGGGAGGGTGACACATCCGCAAGCTCTGTAGGCTCCAACACTACTCCCGAGGGCTGTCATCGAAACATCCCGACTCGCTACAGACCCACCCATAACATTGGGGCCGGAGAACTGTGATCACCTTAACGAACCTATATTGGAGCCGCATCAGAAGGCGATGGTACACTGCTAGGATCAAAGGAGCGAAGCACCCTTGCAGACCTAGCCCTCTTCACCAGAGGAGTGGGACTACAACCTGTACCCTCGATAACCGGTCATTTCCCATCACGCTTGGACGGCGACCTCTCCAATGAATTAGAGTGGAGAAGAGCTATTCCCACCCCTCGGCAAGCAGCATGGCCTGGGGGAGGGACCGACACATGGTGGGATCATGCGTTCGCCCACAATAATTCCTGGAACCCGACAAGCAGTGAGCAGAGGTATGACAGATGGAGTGACTTACACACTTGCATTCTGCCATAACCAGCAATTGGAAACCGAGTACACCCCGGGAACACTCGACTGTGACACCGAACCCAAAATACGTCTTCTCCAAGGTTTCTCAAAAACTGGGCGCCTATGTCGTCGTACCCAAATTGTCGGAGCACCCGATCCGGATGATAGACAAAGAGTTGCAATAACCCCAAGCCACAAAATTACTCGCGCCATTCTCACAATAGCACTTCCCATCTCAAGAGCACACTAGTTATCCCCACCCTTTGGGACAGGCACGGCATGGCGGACCATGCGAGCATATGGTCATTTTAAAATTTTTGCGCCTCTTTGCGTGAAGCCTCCATTTCCCCAGCACACTTCCAAAACCTTCTCCCCCGATTTATCACCATTGAGAGTAGCAATTTGAAGTTAGAGAGGATGAAGTGTTCGTAGCCTCACATTGAGCTCAAAGTGTTCACAGATGAACATCCAAATAAACGGAGTGAAGACGTAATTCACGTGCCTCCTGTAACTAGGGTCATTCAGCTGTTGAACAGTGTCGTCCAGTTATTCATACAAATAACCAAGAAACATCGATGCTAAGGGGAGTTGTTACCTGCTAGCAGCAAAGACGGCCAGGGGGATCAGAACGGTGCGGACGAAGTCCAGCATCCCTGGGAACAAGAAGCGGGAGGCCACATATAGAATATAGGCAACAAGGTGGCAATGAGATCCTGCACCTCGTACCACGACATTCCCATCGCCGCGACACTCGAACTAGTAGGCCATCCATTGATCCAATGGCATTTTGCCCCGCGAAGAGGATCATACAGCTCCTTCCACTTCGGCGGGATGAACTCTATATGTTGCAAATGCTTTGCAAATATCGCACCCCCAACCAACAATGCTAACAATGCCACCACATCCTCCATCATAATAGTAAATTCACCAAACGCACCCGAAAGTATGTGTACGCGAACACCAATGATTCAGCAGGTGCCCTACATACTTAACACCGTCCCGGCCTGGAAGACCAGTGTAGCAGTTTACAAACCTTAAAAGCCTAGCATCCTGAAGCGTCTGGCAATACAGTGGATTTTCCAAATTGAATCGCGTCCAAGTAGTATAATTGGTCAGAGACTTTGACGCATCGGTCCATGGCTACTGGCATTTTTAGGACATGGAAACCTTCGTTGTTTCGTAGAGACACATCAACTCGGTACCAACAACAACATCAGATGAACCATTTTCCCCTCATGATACAAGAATAGGAGGCCAAAAATCCCTGCCACCATCGACCGCCAAAGCTACTTCCCTCTCTATTTGCAATGACACAATGTCAACCTGTCTGACGAAATCAATAAAGAAGGAATCCAGACTTCCTTGTTGAGTAGCCATGAAGACAGATTGACTAACCTAAAGGTGATACAACGGAGAATAATTTCTTATCGCCGATCGAATAACCTTCTAATGGTCGAATGGGGGAGATAATAGCAACAACTACAAATAAAGCGAGAGTACTAAACAACGCCAGAGAAGATGATAAGATGCCTGCACGACACTCGAAGCAATGCTTCGTGAATAAGTAAGCTCGCGAAATTACCTAAAGGTCCCTTTCGGAGGCGGGACCAATAAGCCGCATATAATGCAAATGCATCGCCCTATCCCGTAACAGTGATAGACAGTAACCATCTCCATATCCATTCAAATTTCAAACCCGACCCACACGTGTGACTAAATCACAATAATCTCAAATTAACGACAAAGAGTAAATCATTACTGAGTGCCACGTGGATTCTCCTCGCAAAAGAACTCTTGTTCCTAACCCTGAAAGATACGACGACGCCCGATCAAATTGCATGCACTAGACAAAAGGACACATGCGATACTAATTTAGCCATTGCTCATGAAAGCCTACGGCGCACACGCTACTGGTAGTTTGAAAACGACTAGCTGTTACGGTTCAGCACAGGCTTAGCCTTGCCTACGCTTGACAGGCTTACGTTAGGGACATGCCCGTCATTTCGCTTGTAAGATTTTTGGGAGAACTAATGTCATCTTCAGGCAGACCACCAAAAGCTTAACGTACTCTTTGAGGAGGGTTGGTCAACCTCCTTGGGTGCCTAACCTTGGCACTCCTAGACCTTCATCCCCTTGCGGGGCGATCCTGGTTAACAGCTAGCATGGCTACCAGGGTTCCTCATGGGCGCACACTTGCTCATRGGGACAGTGTTGGACCGGCACTGCGCTACCGATACCCAAGGGAGGCTTAGCATGCGGGCCTGGCTCAAGCATGTCCCTTAACCTCGCCAGCCCCTTGCCCAAACTGATTGAGCTATCCCGTTGCCACTAGCGCACGGGTGTGTTTCGGCCCAAGCGGTTGCCTATCATCATGGCACACATGTGCCTGTCATCATCGGCATACAGGAGACCCTTCACATCGGTGCCAAGTCACCTCATCGGCGCATGGTCGCCTTCCATTATGGTTGTCCCCCTTTAGCACGTAAGCGGCGCCTCCCATGGACCGGTCTAAGCCAGGAGAGTGCCCCGGCCATTGGACTTGAGGTCATGATCCAGTGCTACTGACTTTGGTGGAGCCATCCCATCGGGCAACTCCTAGCCTCTAAGCGCATAAAGGCTTGTCCTGGCCTGCCTTGGCCAGGACGCCGCACGGGTTTCTTCCCCTGTAGAACTACCTCCGTGACAGTTGGTATCAGAGCAAGTTAGCTAATTGCAACAGCAGTTGGTTTTCAGCAGATTAGCCTACAGCCAGTTGTGTTAGACAGTTTTGTATGCCCTTTGCTTCAATCAGAATGATGTACTTTATGAGTTAATTGTAAATGAATAAAGATACATATTTGATTCATGTTCCCTTGGTATGTTTCTGTGTAATACCCTTAAACTGGACACTTAATGAGACT